GGGGGTGGATCGGGTGCGGTGCGAGGAGTGAAGGGGGGGGCGGTGCGGTGGAGGGGGCCGGCCGAGGCAGGCTGCTGGGGGCGGCGGCGGCGGCGGCGGCGGCGGTGGACGCGGTGCCGGAGGAGAGGAAAATAAAGAAAACGAACGCCCTTCAGCAGGATCGAAGGCAAACAAAGAATTCGGGGACAGCCTGAGTTTGGAGAGTATCCTAGAGTAACCGGGCCTAACTCGCAATGACTACGTGTCGATCCGGAGGGCTGGGGGCGGGAGAGGCGACGGGTCCCGGCACGTCCCGGGTAGGAGAGGCCGAGGGTCGCAGTTTCTCTCGCCCTTACTTTCTGGCACTCGGAATTCCAGGGTCTGTCTCTTGACCCGTCTTTCCTCGCATCCCCCTAGCCTTCTACGCTGGGAACGACCTTTTCTTACAGGCGACACAGGGATTTGGGGCAGGTTTCTCCTGTAGCCTGCAGTGGCCCAGTTGGAGGGCTTGTAACCCGGATGACACTCTGGCTACCCCACTGATCTCCTGCCTTGACACCTTGAGCCACTGATCTGGGGAGAGGAAACCAGTCTTAACGTTTCGGCTTAGTACTCCCGTCTGACAGCTGTCGTAGACTGGGTAGTAAAAATTACAACTTGATGCTTTGGAAGTAAAGGTAAGGATTGCCTGCTCTGAGCAAAAGCTTGTTGCCCATCTTGAATATAAACTACCTTAGCTTTGTGTAGTTTCCTAATAGGTCTGTAGGCATTTTATCTTGTTGGGAGTCATTCAGATGAGCTGGAGGATCAGTATCAAGTGTTGATCAATATGTGTCTCAGTTGAGTGCTCGTGACACTAGTTTGTGGCTTTTTGACATCTTGATGTATTAAGTTTTCAGGGGTTTGGAGTTTTACTTTTTGAATTTGTGGTATAATTCCAAATGGATGTTAGAATGCCTTGATTTTACTATGAACCGTGTATCTCCTTGTCGCTTTTTAGTTATTGAAAGAGTCCTTTCAGTGGTCACTATTTTAAAATACATCTATAGAAAAGCACTGAGGAAACACTAAAAATAACTAAAATTGTAGAAAAAGGTCATTGTACTTCTGAAAGTTTGGTATATAATCTTAAATATTTTAGGATTCTTAAAAGGAGAGTTTGGTTAGGGGTTCTTCTTTTAAAAGAAAAACCTTAATATTTTTATGCAAACTGTGGCCTGGCTTGGTTGACATGTGCTTTTCATAGGCTCTCGAAGCATCGCAGCTATTAAGGAAAGTTAGATTTGGCAGATGTAGAGGTTATGCAAACAGAGGAGTAGTACACGTCATTTATAACCTGACTCTGCTTGAATGAGTAAAATGGGGGTCCAGGTGTAAATCAATGGAACCACTACAGTTATAGTCAGCATGTAGAATCCAGCAGCTTTATTTAAGCTGTTGGGTTTCAGCAATCCCAAAGGGCTAGTAATACCCTCTTATTTTAGTTTGAAAGTAGTAACAGTTTAGGCAATCAACTTTTTCGCATACTTAATCCTACGCCATGACAAGATAGCTATTGAAAATAGTTACGAGATATTTCACTACTTAATGTACTATTTCAGAAACGTTTAACATGCTGTGGTTTGACATAAATATAGACTAATGGTACCAGTTTTGACTTATTTACATTCTTGTCATTGTAAGATTTTCCTTAATCTTGGCTCTAGTCCTTCAAATTATTAAGGAATCCCAGCAGCAGCATGGTTTACGGCATGGAGATTTTCAGAGGTACAGGTTAGTATCACGTACAAGATGTATGGAAATTATTGTGGGATTTTCAAACTTGGTTTGCTTTTGTTAATGTCCTACTTACTCTCCTGTAATCAGAAAGTGTTCCTAGAAAGTCTGGCTTGAATTTATATTGAATCCTCAAAAGTTACATAATTTTAAAAATTTAGTTTATATAATGAATAAAAGGAGCCAATCTTTTAATCCATTTTGCCTCATAATATTGCTGTTACATTTGGAAAATAACAGGCAGTTATGGTAATCATTTTTTAACTTAACCATATTGTACAGTCTTGGTTAAATTCAATGCTTTTCGGTTGAAACACTATATAAGGGGAATTTCTGTTACATCACTAGAATGTATTGGTAAAATTTTATAACAACCTTCAAGTTGAAAAACAAATTTAATATGACTCTAAAAAATAGAATAGCTGCCTAATATGTAATAGGCATCACACATTACTTGAAAGTATAGATATCCAACTATTTATATATTGTAGGTATTATGGACTTTGCCTGATGTTAAATAGTACTACTAAAACTCTACATCTCAGGTTCTTATTCATTCATTCATTCATTCAGTTATTCAGAAACATTTAGTGAGCACCTATCAATTGCCCAACACTGTTGTTGGCACTGGAGAGCGTTAAATGACACAAGTAAAGGTTCTTAATCTCAGGGAATTTATGCACAAAACAAATGAAACAAGCACAGATGTCAGGCTATGATGAAAATTAAAGAAAGCAACTCCTATGAAAGGGAGTTACATTGGGGGTGGGTCAGGAAAGGCCTTTATGCAGGGATCTGGAGGCTGAGGAGGCAGCCATATGGTGAAGAGTCAACAGGGCTGGGGCAGAGGGAGCAAGGTGGGCAGTGGTGTGAGATGAAGTGGGAGAGGCAGGCAAGGCCAGGATGTACCTGGCCCAGCAGACCAGGGTGACAAGTTCAGGTGTTAATCTGGGTGTGTTGGGAAGCCACTTGAGCAGGGGACTATTATAATCTGATTTTTAAAAAATTATTATGGGCCGGCCTGGTGGCGCACTGGATAAGTGCGCCGCTTGGGAAGTGCGGTGGTGCTCCCGCCCGAGGGTTCGGATCCCACATACAGACCAGTTCCCACTCACTGGCTGAGCGAGGCGCGGGAGCAACACCGAGGGTTGCAATCCCGTTGCCGGTCCCCGGTCCGGTACGGGGGCAACACTGAGGGTTGCAATCCCGTTGCCAGACACGGAAAAAGACAAAATAAATAAATAAATAAGTAAATAATTATTATGGAAATTTGCAAGCACAAACATAGAAACGCTACTACAATGAACCCATCACTTAGTTATCACAACAATCACTTTCTGCCCTTGTTGTTTCGTTTGTTTCCTCCCCTACTTTATTTTTAAAGTACATTTTATTGAAGGATATAAATTTTTTATTTAAGTGTAATTTATATACGGAAAAGTGTACA